TCATACATAGCAATTTGAAAACCTGCAGTGGAAAGTTTTTGCTGTTTGCCAGTAGATTTCCTGTATAGCACTTTCTCTATGCATGATGTAAGCAGGATACCTCGGAAGGGTAAATATTTAGTGGGTTGTGTGTGACTGTGTACAATGAATTGTGAGGAAGAGGAGTACTCAGGACAATTTAGGAAGAACTACTTGAGTTAATTATTGTTAAATATTCTGTTCCTTTTTTTACATTTTTATAACTGACTTCCAACACTTTTCTGCAGCTGTTTGTATTTAAAAATGACAGTATTTGCATTTTTGCAAACTAAATCACTTTGCATACTCTTGGAAGAGACACAAAAAGGGAAAAAAGCTGCCTCTAGATGGAGCAGTGGAGAAGGGGGGGAAGAAAACCAGGAAAATGCTGACAAGACCTGCCTTTCTCCTGCTGCCTAACAGCAAACCCAAGTTTTTGTTGTTCTGGAGAGCTCTGTGAGCCTGTGCCACTGTTAGCCATGGTCCAGAGCTTGTCACTCTCCAGAGATGAGGAGAAACCACATGCAGGACAGGGAGGTTTATCTTGGTGTTGATGCCCCATCCATCAGTTTGACTGCTGGTGGAGAGCATATGCCTGCTGAGCATACTCATGTCAACTGAAAGTGATTTAAAAGCTGTTACCTTGGAAAAATAAACTTGTTTGTGGGGGATGTTTGTGAGAGGAGGAGGACAGTTTTTGTTTTCATTCCTGCATTGCTGGCAGTGGGTAGACCAGGCTGAAATCTGGTGTGGTTGAGTGAGGACATTAAGGACAAACTTGCAAGTGAAGTGAGTGAAGCATTGCCACTGAATTTGTAGAGTCCTGTAGCACCTTTTTCAGCTGTGAGAGGACCTGTGCCCCTTGGCATCTTCTGTTTCCAGCCCTGACTTGGGGTTGGTTTGTTTCATAGTCTTGCCTTTGCCACCTGTAGTGAGCCAACCTGTTGTGAGGGGGAAGCAACAGTATTTTGGTATGAAATGCTGGGAGGGGTTCTGCCTAGTCTGCACCTGTGCTTAGCAGATGACACACACTCAGTTTTGTGACACAGTGAATTTAAGCTCAGGTTTGAATGTGGCCTAGTGCTTTCCCTGCACAGCAAGATGGAAAATCTGTGTTTAGCTGTGATTTGGGAATGTCTCAAGTCTAGCCATTGCCTCTGTCAACCCATCACTGGCCTTGAGCAAAGAGTTTATTCTGTCTCTTTGGCACAGAGAGTGTGGGTCATGCTGACAGCAGATTTAATGTGCAACTGAGGCTCCTATGTGTAAAACTTATTTCAATTAGTGTGGTTTTATTCCTTAGCACTGTAAAGGTTGAAGTGCTGTAATGGTGTGTTGCTTGTGTGAGGCCCTGGGACATTGCTGTCAATGTTCAAAACAGCAGAAAACTAAGCAACTACTGTACTAGAAAACAAAGACTCCAAAAACTAAGACTAGACACAAAGAAACAGAATAAGCCTTTTCAGTCACACCTCAGTTATTACCCTCCTGCTGCAGCAACTGTCAAAGACCTTGGTCTCTTTGGAGACTTTGTTTCTGAAGTGGCTGGTACAGGAAGATGTTGTGGTGAATTCAATACTCTTGGTTTGTATTTAAAACAAAATGCTGTTGCATCCAAATACCTTACCTTACTCTAACCATTTATAAACAAAGCAATCAGTATTTCAGTAGTGCAAAGGCAGTGGTAACAGGGGCTTCCAGGCAGGATGGTTTAAGGCAGCTCCCTGCAAAAAGGACCTCTTTATTTGAAGACAATTGTGGCAAAGCTGTTGTGAAGGGAGTACAGACTTTGACTTGTATTTTGGAAACAATGTTCTTTTTCAAATGGCATTTCACCTTCCAGTGAGTTGATGGATTTCCATTGGACATGCATCATTTTTTGTACTAGGAAAGGAGAGTTTTTCCTCTCTCTGGGGTTTTCTCTTGCCAGCATATCCAGAGAAATATCATTGTCTTCAGTGGATGCATGAACTAGTGCAACAGCACAGAACATAGTGCTGTGAAGAGGAAAAAGATCCATGCAGGGGAAGAGGCTTAGGAAGGGAGAGATCCCACAGATCTGTTTCAGCTTTTGAGAAGAGACAGATGTTTGGAGTTGGTTTTGATGTGATGGCCACTTCAAGAGGCACAATTTCAGCTGTACATACCTGAAGCCATTTATACTAACTATGGTATGCTAAAGTTTGATCATAAAGCGTGTGTACCTCCTCTTAATATTTTGGGGTTTCTTTTTTCATTGTGGGAGTTTCTAGATCCTATTATTATGTAAAGTGATTAGGAAAATGTGTATGGCTCTGAAGACATTGCTTTGTATGTAAACATTTAATTGCACCCTGCCACTTTCTGTATATGGGAATATATTTTGTATTATTTTTCTTTTTTGAACTGTTTGTATTCCCATTTGTTTGACTTAAATTACTCTTGCAAAGCTCTCACCTTCTGGAACATATGCAGGTACTAAACCAGTTTCTCCTGCCCAGAAAATTCCTTGGCTCTTCGCAGCTAAAATTTCATGCAGGGCAGGAACGTTTCAAATTCCATTATGTAGCTAACAAATCAGATGTGCTGTTTCCCACTAATCTGCTCAGTACAGCAAACCAGCATTGTCCTCTGCGGTTGTTCTTACCAACTCGTTGCACAGCTTCCCTGTAGATCAGCACCTTGCCAAAAAGACATAGCTTTAAATTAAAGTGCCCCTCTTTCTAGCTGGCCTGTTTGCACAGGCATAGGCCCTGTGGAGCTGATGGCTGATCAGGTTGGTACAGACTCCCTCTTACAAGGTTTGGGGCTCTGGTGTTCTGTTTGTGCTGGTTGTGTCAGCTCATTGCTTATCATGATGCTGGTTAAAGGCTCTGAAGCCATGGTTGGCCCTCCACACAGCTGTCATTCCCACAGCTGGGCTCTGGGAGTGTCTTTTACCAGCACCTAATTTCTATCCCATGTCTTCCTCCAGTGATTTTGTTGGTAGCAAATCAACTTTGCAGTATCTGGCCCTAGGGGGAACAAATCAATCTTGTCCTTGAGACATTCAGTGTCTCAGAAATACCCTGAACACCAGAGCAATTCCCCTCTACTGACCAAGTGTTGCTGCTTCTCCTGGGAGAGCAGCTGAGGGTGGAACTTTTGCATTTCTTTAGCCATCATGTGCTGCATGGAGTGCTAACAGGTCTGCTACCAAGAGAACATTTTAATTTGGAATAGCAAATATGCTCATCTTTAGGAACTAATCTACAGTAATTATAAATACCTACTTATATATGGAAGAGAGCGTGTGTTCTGTTTTTTTCTTTTTCCTTAAAGCTGTAACTAGTGATATGAAGTGAAAGGCATCCCTTATATAAGGCTTCTGTTTAATATTATTGTGTGGTTAAAATCCTTCCACTATACATTTGCACACTTTTTTTCCTCTTCCCTTGCATGTTCGACTCTGATTTTTACAGCTGTTCTGTGCAGACAGTAATGTATTTTTGTAAAATGTTTTTGACACTGAATTGCAATAAATGTTCAAACAATGTGAACCACAGAGCTGGTTGTCTCATTGCTTCCAAGTTGGTGACCTGATTGGCCTTGAGCTTCTGGTGACTGTAAGCAAAGATTCTTCTGCAGGAACATCCAGAACTTGGCTTGTTGCAGTAGAACATCCTGGATAGAGCTGTTGCTTCACCGTACCTCAAAGGGAAATGAGCCCTCACTTCTGACAGAAACAGTGCTCACATGGAGTTTGTACTCGTGGATCTTTACTTGTCCAAAGCACAGCAGTGATTGATGCCCCAAAAGAGATTGCCAGTGCTCATGCTGATCTGATTGCTTCAGCCTGTGGCTTACAGAAATGTTTTTATGGGTGTGTTGTCCAAGTAACTGTGATTTTGAATTTTTAATCTTTTTTTCAGGTACAGTTGCATCTTGTTAGTGTCAGGACTTCAAACAGTCTGACCCAGGCTCCTGCTCAGAGGGAATGTGAGTAGGAGTGCATGGAAGTCTCCTAGTAACCTGGGGGAAAGCAGTTGAAAAGGCAAATGAAATTTCTCTGGTTGGAGCAGGAGAAGTTCTCATGGTAAAACAGGACTCAACTTTCTTGAAAACAGCCAGTTCTACTTAATAGACTAAATGTACAAAGGCTAATACTTTCAGGGGAATACTGGATC